CTCAACATCGGGTGAAACGGTGAACCGTATCCAAACGTTATATTTCGTTTGGCTTTTGTGTCGAGAATGTATTTGACATCGGAGAAGGTCTGGGGAGTGCTGGTAAAGCCACACCTCATAGTCTCCGTCATCACTTAAATGTTCGGCGATGTAACCAGGAGCCAGAGATATCTGATACGTTCCACACGTAATGGTTCTCAAGTAATCAAGATCGAGACGGGGAAACAGTACGGAAGATGCATCCATCTTGACAAACTCGGACCTTGCCCGTCTAGATAGATCCGGATCTGTCTTGACTCTCTGAGCTAAACCATTCGGTGTTGTCAAACGGTCCTTCATACGTTCAGCCATTAGCCTATCTTTGGCATCTCTCTCTGGAGATCTCTGGTAGATCGGTCCTCTAATACCATTCAGACAGGCTGTGACGGTTCGAAGCAAAGCCTCGATGACATTGATAAAGCTGTTAGACACCAATTGCGTTCGGAAGAACGTCCAGTGTTTCAGACGACCATGATAGGATTCCACAATCCACCTCGATTTGGTGATAGTTCTGTCAAGATTTGCTTGGACGTCAGAATGTTGACTTTGACCGGGTTTCAGGTATGACGGCATGCTAGCATTGAGGCCAGAGGCTTCGAGAACTGGTAGGACATCTCTAAAACCTCGGTCAACGACAACGTTGTCGTCTGGTTGTAGCCAAGTAACTAGCTTGTCCATGACTTTTTTTGTAATTGTAGCATCATTTTCGCTGCCAGTGAATGGTCCTACTGTGTCCAGAATGTAGCCATCTGGTAAGGCGATGCTCATGAATTTGAGATAGTTTCTCTTCTTCTGGCCACAGTAGGACATTCTCTGGAGCTTGTGGTCGGAGCTTTTCTGGATATAAATATAGGTGCCATCTAATATGGCAGTGGCTTTATCTCCAAAAAATGCTTCTGAAAAGACAGTATTGTGCCCGAGCAACTGTTCTCTTGTCAAGTGATCCGGACCTAGAAATTGTGGGACTATCGATGTGTCTAATGCCTGTACTATGGAGTGGAAAGTTTTGGACACACTTGACTTGGAAATTCCAAAAAGAGAAGAACACTGACTCCAGGAAATGTCGGTTTTCAGTTTTACCCAGAACAGTAATAGAGCATCGTGTGTAGTCTTGGTATATATACCAGATGAAAGATATGGGGAACAGTGCGAGTGGATTTCGAGGAACTGATCTTTGGANATGTTTTATGAATAAACACGATGTTTTGGAAATATTTATCAAAAGAAATTTATACTATGTTGCGAATTACAATTTCGAGATAACCTTCTTTTATTTACGAACTTATGTCTTTGATGCTGAAATTGACAACTTTATAAAAATACATTTTCACTGAAATTATGAAATCTGGGTGTCGGAAAGGTGTAAAATTATTCTTCGGAAAAGAAAAAAACAGTAGTTGAGCTAGATAAGAAATTATACGGGGGCAGGCTCCTATGGAGAATTAACATTACTGGAAACAGGCCCTTTGTGTGGGTTGATATTTGATGAATTCTGTGGGCCCCTCTGGTTCTCCTGTCGCCTGATGTTATGAATTGGGATGGATCAATAGCCACATGTCCGTTTATTATTTTATATAACATCATGAGCCTGGCTTTTGTTCCTCGCTGGGATAGGGGCTCCCAGTTAAGTATATTTATCATGTTGATGACACATCCAGGCTCTCTAGATCTATGATCAATAAATACGTATATGGCAGCCCTACGCTGTACATTTTCAATTGCTAGGACCTGATCTGAAATAAAATGGTCCCAGCAAGTGGCTGCATATTCTGGTGATGGTCTTACTAGTGTGGTGAATGTCTGGGTTTTGACTTTTCTGGTGCATGATGACATGTTGCGACGCAGAAATCCCAGTGTCCTATTTGCCTTGTTGGTGATGGATTGTACGTGTTTATCCCAATTAAGGTCTGAGGTGAAAGTGACCCCTAGGTATTTGGTAGAGTCTAAATTTTCCAAAACTTGATTGTGCAGGGAGTAGCTAAACTTAATTAGATTTTTCTTTTTAGATATGTTGATGATAGAACATTTTTTGGCGTTAAAATTCATTTGCCATTTACCCTCCCAGATTTCCAAGAATTTGAGGTCGTTTCTGACAGTCTTCTAATGAATTAATTTCTGAATATAATAAGCAGTCGTCAGCAAAGAGTTTGATGTCGCAGGAAACTAAGTCGATGATGTCATTAATGTAGACCAAAAAGAGGAGTGGGCCAACAACCGTTCCCTGAGGTACCCCGGATAGGGGGTGCTATCAGAGCTGGTACTGTTAATTATTACTTTCTTTTGTCTGTTGTTCAGAAAAGAGGAAAACCAACCAACAGTATCTGGATCTACCCCATCATATTCTAGTTTGGAAAATAATCTTGCATGAGGGACTTTGTCGAATGCTTTCGAGAAATCCACAAGGGCGACATCAATTTGTTTATTTTCATCAAGGTTCCTTGCTATGTCGTCAATTGTCAGAATTAGTTGAGTTTCAGTAGAGAATTTTGCACGGAAACCATGTTGTACATTTGTTAGGATGTTATTTTGCTCAAGGTGGGACATTACGTTAATATGGATGATATGTTCTAATAATTTGCATGTGATACAGGTAATTGAGACAGGTCTATAATTTTCAGCAGCTTGTTTATCCCCTTTTTTGACGACTGGCACGATGTGTGCTTCACGCCAATCGTGTGGTACGGTGCCAGAGTCGAGAGAATTTTGAAAGTGCTCGGGTGATTTCTGTTGGCAATTCATGGAGGATTCTGGCTGGAATGGAATCGGGACCAGTGACTTTATGGATTTTGATATTCTGAAGGAGCTTATATACACCTGGTTCGCTGATGGTGATGCGTGACATTGGTCTGAATGGTGACGGACCTAAGTCGGGTAGTTCAGAGTTTTTCTTTGGTGAAGACGGACTGAAATTGTTGGTTTATTATGTATGCTTTGCTTTTTGCATCAGAATATGTAAGGCCGTCTTCAGGATTCCTTATTGGTGGGATGTTGTTTGTATCCATTTTTTTTACTTTTAATAAAACTCCAAAATCGTTTTGGTTTCTCTATGAGCTGAGGACTAATGATGTCTAATGATGACTAATAACTACTATAGGCTCTTCTGGTCTCTTTTTGCATTTTGGATTTTATTTTCTTGTACCTGTCCCAGTCTTTTGTCTTGTATGTTTTCTTGGCTTTGTTATAGGATCTTCGTTTTTGTCGGGCTAGCCTATTTATGTTGTTATTAGCTCAGGGATTGGTGAATTTTGACCTTGTTAGTTTTTGGGGTACGTGGATTTTAACAACTGAATTAAGGACATTTTTGAAATGTGACCAGGCCTGGTCATCAGACATAGTTTGGTCTATTATACATTTCAGCTTTTCTTTCCCCTCCTCTTTCAAAAGGGTGATTTTAGCCTTGCTCCATAAGAATATGGTTCCTCTTGGCTGTTTTATGGGAGGAGTTGAGATTTCATTGTCAATTAGGACGATGTCATGGTCTGACACACCTGGGATAGCCTTGCACTTATTGACAACTGACGGCATGTTGGTTAGAAAGAGACCAAGTGTGTTGTTATAACGAGTGGGGAAGTCCAGTACTTGATTCAAGCCGAGATCATGGAAGAGAGCAATGAACTGTTCACTCAGAATGTTTGGATTGTTGCTACTTGTGATGACACTATCGGGCCAGCTGATGTCACTCAAGTTGAAATCACCCCCGAGCCAAAGGGTATGGTTTGGGAAAGTGTTGTATAGGTTGGTGATTTCCATTACTGAGTTTTATTTGGTGGCCTGTAGTATGAGGCTATTATTATGGGGTTTTGCTTTGCAAGATGGATTCTAGCGTCTACAAGTTCTACTTTGTCATTTTTGTAGGCTAATGTGGCATTGAGATTTGACTTAGTAGCAACGATCGAGGACTACGCCGCTACGTGACGAGGTCCTATCCTATCATTTCTGAACAATTCGAAATCAGAGGTAAACACTTCGCTATCACTGACCTCTGGTTTTAACCAGGTTCTGTACCTATGAAGACGTCACGTTTAGCTGATTCAATAAAGAGTGAGATATCGTTGCGTTTGGATCTAATACTTTGAAAATTGACGAGTAATGTTCTCAATGATTTGATGGTTATTTTGGGCATAGATGATTTTAGTCTGAAGCATTCTTGGGTGAAAGGGAACCAATTGTGTATAAACCGTGGGTCTAGTCCCCCTGTGGGCTGAGGGGCGGGGCCCAACAGGGGAAATATAATTTTGTATAAACGGTGGGTGTGCCCCCCCCCCCCCCCCCCCCGGGACCTGAGGGGCGGGCCTAATAGGTGAAAAAATAGGTAAAACCTTTATAACCCTTCTGCTACCATAGGGATTAAGGGATATTATCCTAATTTAGTCCGGAGCATCCTTAGGCAAAAGGGACTCAATTTCGTATAAGCAGTGGGTGTGGTCTCCCAGGGGGCAGAAGAGCGGGGCATTATAGAAGAAATAGAGGTAAAACCTTTAAAATTCTTCTCCGACCATCAGGATTAAGGGATTTTATCCTTATTTAGTCTGTAGCATCCTTGGGTCAAGGGGACTCAATTTTGTATAATTGGTGGGTATGACCCCCTAGGGCCATAGGGATTGGACTCTGTTTGAAGTTTGTTCTCGCTCTATCTCAAGTGCTGGATGGATCTTTCTGAAATTTCATATGTACTTACAGCACCTACCACGGAGTGCTATATCTTTACTTCATATCAATTATTTTAAACATATTCAGGTGAGCGATACAGGCCCTCTGGGCCTCTTGTTTATTCATTTAAATTCTCTTAAAAATGCAGCAGGTTTGATCAAGAAGTGTGGCTATTTCACTGCGGTGAAATTTCACTCTATCTTTCAGCCAAGATAACCTATACAGCAATATGATACATGTAAATTTTACTTATTTCTCTTCATCTCCCTACGATCGGAAAATCCAGGCAGAATAAATAGCCCAACACGCAATGACCTTTATCTATTCATTTAATGTTTCGATCCATAACAAATGACATCAGAAATGAGGATAACATTGACAACCAAAGCACACACATCATTTTTTTTTTCTCTTTTGTAATCACATGTGACAGCTAAACAAGCACAATTCCCAGTGCTAGTTACATGCGTAACACTGGCACTTGACATAATAAGAATCTTAAAAGTAAAAACAAAATAGAAATCAAAGCTCTCATATATTTATATGTTCATTTTAGCTTTAGCGATAGGCATATTGTTACATTTGATAACTGAATATATATGCTCCTTTCTGGCTGGTAGTACAGCATCAACCTGCTGTCACCAATTTAACACTATGAAAGAATTATATTTGTAAAGGTTTGCCCCAATGATATTCTACAGTGAAGTTACGAATGCTTGCTTTTGATACCCGTCATTCTACAGTGAAGTTTAGAATGCTTCGTTTTGATACATGTCTATTTACAGTGAGGTTACGAATGCTTCGTTTTGATACATGTCTATTTACAGTGAAGTTACGAATGCTTCGTTTTGATACATGTCATTCTACAGTGAAGTTACGAATGCTTCGTTTTGATACATGTCATCCTTTTAAAATTCAAGATGGTGATCTGGTGGCCATCTTGTTCTTTTAATCAGAGAAACTTACATACAAAATTTTAAAAATGTCTGTTTTGTATTTCTTGACAAATAACATTAGCAGGTATTGTTTAATGACAACTGATGGATAGACAGAGTATGGACAAACAGCAATTTGAACAGGGTACTATTAGCTGATAGTATGATAAAAATGTTAGAGAGGTCTCCCAACAGAAACAGCACCACTATTACCTCATTCACCGAGGACACATTTGAACTCTTCCAATTCAAAGGTTTGAATAGTCCATCATAAAATTTCAGGGGTGAACACGTTAACAGTGAACACTTTTGTCACTTTTTACTTTGGTCCATATTCTGCAGCATGGCTTGTCGCAGCTTGGTGACGACTACATTCCAGCGATTCCGCCACTGTTGCAGGTTGTGTTGGTCCACAAGTACCCAGGGTACAGTAGACTGGGCTGGCTGCTCCCACCTTTCATACAGAAGAATCAAACATCATTAGCCAGAATGAAACAATCCTTTTAAAGTTGAGCAGTTCAAACAAAGTTCAAGGAATTACAAATTAAATGCATCAGTTTTGACAAAATGCAGATGGATCTCAATCATTTCAGTTAAAATTTATTCTTGATTGATCAGTTCAAACAGATGTCTCCAGTTAAGACTTTAAAAGCTGAAAAAACATACAATTAAGAAAGTTATTGCTTAAAAAGTTTTAAAATTACCACAGAATATTTGCAAGACATGTTGCTACTTAAAACTGTAAGCCACAAGCTGATATCTGTGTTCTCATATAAAACTACAAAATGTATAAAATGTCGGTCAGACATGATGCCCCTTCCCCCTGAAGTCAGTAAACTGGTGACAACGAATCTGTTGACCACATAGCAATGGTTGACCCATAAATAGCAACAGTGACCTTGGTATTGACCTTCAGACCCTGAAATAGGAACTCATCCGAGGTATTTTTGTGCTTGACATCTGTATAAACGTTTTTAAGAAATAAAGTCAGTAGAGTCGTGGAAATGCGATGAGATAGGACAGATATATATACACTATATTCCCCCCAACCACCTCCATTTTATAGGATGGAGGCTGAAAAAAACAAGAGTATCAGTAGAACTTATGTATGCATTTGGTTAGATTTGACACGTATTGGTAAACATATGAAGAAATGGGGAGTTTGGACGAAATGCGGAGTTTGGAAGATATGGGGAGTTTGGAAGCAGAAAAATAATATTTTAACATGATCATGATCCTAGTTTAAATGCAGGCAAAGTTATGCTCTGGATACAATATTTTAGCAAAGGGCAATAACTCTATTATTCAGGGGCTGCAGACCCTAAATAGGGTATAGTGCACATCAACTTAGTGTGACTGATGTACACACCAAGATTCATGATCCTAGCTTAAGTTGTGCTCAGGACACAACATTTTAGGAAAGGGCAATAACTCTGTAATTAAGTGGCTTTTGGCCCTGAATTTAGTAACGTGCACATTGCCCTAGTATGACAGATGTACAAACCAGGTTTCGTGATCCTAGCCTAAATGTGGGTAAAGTTATGCTGCGGACAGGAAAGGAAAGATGGAAAGACGGACGGATGGATGGACAAAGCAGCAACTATATGCTCCCCTGAAAATTTTCGTGGAACATAATTAGAGAAGAGACACATGTCAGATGATTGTTTTAAGGTTTTTCTGTCATGAAGAAGCTATATACCAACACATTCATCATTTGTAGATGTGGGCATAAATTCTTTACAAGTTTGCAGAATTAGGGGCAAGATCCAAAGGTTGCTAAAATTATCATTAGAACACTTCATTCTATAGCCTTGACCAGTTAAAGAACTCCTAATCAACAACTACATGATTTTGAAATTATTTCTCCCATATGTTGTCTGAAAATGACAATTTTTTTTGGCAAGTGATAAAACATTGCCCTTTATTATTACCAACCCCACTGCTTGAATGTCATTAGCTTGTCTTACACCATGACATCACCACACACATGACAATGCCAACAGAAGAAAAGGTATTCTATATCAACCCACAAACTGCTGTCTAAAACAATATAAAATGGTAACTTATGGTAAATGAATAATTGCAGTTTTCATAAACATAGGTGTCAACCTCTGTAACCTCCAATGAGGGATATCTCCCTCATTCCACAATTCGAATGAGGGAGAAAATCTGTGAAATGCGACTGAAACGGTTTATTTATTTTATCTTTCCCTTTTTAAGTATCAAAATAACTCCAAAAAGCGTTCATTTGATTCAGACACACCTGTTACAATCATTACACACACCCTGCAGTAATAAGGAGATCATTAGACCATAGGATGTAGATTTTGAGTTTGTGTGAGTTTGGACTTTGAGGAAGTTTCGAGGGAGATGGTTAATTTTTTGTCAAATTGAGGGAGTCTCCCTCCTAATAAGGGAAGTTTAAAAGCTATGCATACAATGTATGCAGCTCAAATCAAGAAGCTATTTACTCACCAGTCCTGAACAGTCTGTTTGGTAGAACTTGCCCCAGCTAGGCACTTCTGTGATTTTTCTATTCGGTCTTGAAGAACAGGAAGTAACTTATCCAGCTGCTTCCTGTCATGCTCACTGATATCTTTACAGAGGTCTAAGTTCAAAGAAAAAAAAATATCACGGCAATTCTTCTACACACACAAACATCTCATATATATCCAGATTAAATGGTAAGCATGTGCAAGACATACAAGAATGAACTGAAGAATAATAAAGAATTGAAATACACATACCGGTATGTATCAACTTTGTTATGTCATAATGACTCTGGTTTTTTATTTACATACAGTATGTATCTCATGGTATTTATATACTTGTACAGAAAAAAAATGTTTACTTATTACTTATACAAACTTTAAAAATATTATAGTATATAGTAATGTATTAAAACAGGAAAGAGAATAGTGTGCTTCCACTGTGGATCGAACCCGCGATCCCGTACTTCCTAGTTGGACAATCTACCACTGAGCAAGAGGGAAATTCCCACTAGCACAAAGCTAGAAGGCGACCATAATCCAATGTAGGATTAAAATCTGCAACAATAACATCTAGGCGGATGGGCTTATTACAGGACGATGAAAAAGATTTTGTTGGCATTTCTTCCTAACTGTAATAAATATTGGTAGGCTTATTGCCGGATAAACACGCTCTAACAAGATGTTGATCTTAGTATCGATATATTATTACAGTTATATTTGTAGTCTATGCTATGGTTCCTTTGCGTTCTTTTGGATATTTCTACTTCTCCAGTAATTTTACCACAGATAACAAACAATGTACCTGGTATACATCATTTTGTCAAAGGGTTAATTTGACACAACCAAGAGTTTTCTAATTTTATTACATTTCGATGATTGTACAAGTGCTGCAGGACAAAAATCACCTACCTATAATGACTTCTACAACATCTTTGTCTCCTGTCCTCCTTCCAAAATGGTGGAGCATTTTGTCATGGTGATCCAACTGTGCCGAGATATTCTTTGATTTTAACTTTTCCTCCAGACAGTGCGACATTATCAACTCTGGTGCCTACAACAAAAAGTAACTAACATTAATATTAGCAACTCCACTGCCTAGCTATACAACGAAGAGTTTATATCAACTCTAATACTATAGTAGATTGTACATGCGTACCAAATTTCATCAAAATTAAATGATATTTACCTGTTTAGTTTGTTAATTGCAGAAACCAGAGTGGATGAAGTGAGTGATGCTCCCCATACCGTAATGTCTTATCAAAACATTTTGACAGACGTATTCCGTCTTTTCGTATTGCAGAGTTATCTGCTCTTGTGAGCAGGTATTGATTGTTACGTCATTAGTTTGTGTGAGTAAATTACGTCATTTTCTCAAAAATGTGTGATGTTACTCTCACAAGCAAATGACGTAACAATCTAGTTAACCTGCTCACAAGAGCAAATAGCTCTGCAATACGAAAAGACGGAATAATGATAGACAAGTTCTACAATTCTTATCAAAGTATGAAGGCAGTTGTGTACCAATCTACTCAACAGTATTAACAAACCCTTGTCTAACACGACATCCCACCAAACTGGACACAAACATGAAAATAATCTCTTGACTACAAACAAAATTGACCTTCTTTGAGAACTGGACTGATAGTTCATGGTTTTCACTACCAGAAAGTTAACTTATCTGTTTTCTTAATTTACCCATATACGTAGGTGAATGGGAAAACATTTTGACTATAAAAAGTGCAACAGTTTTCAAACAAACAGTCACGAACATTAATTACGTACCAGATAGGCAGGAAACTGTAGACAGCTGAAGACATCGTGTAATGCCTGGCGGGATGCTATGGCAACAAGGTTTGTTGTCTGATTTATTGACATGTCCATCACAGCAACTTTGAAAGGACTGAAGCATTAAAAGACAAAACATAACTGCACAGAGATATCATTTTACAAGCTGATTGGGCTAGACATGTTGATTCCGGCGTTAATCTTACAGCCGTTGATATTGGTAGCACGAGGGCTCTATTCCAAGTATGAACAAGAAATGTTCATCCCTTGGTGAACGTACATCTCTGTGGAGTTTACACAAGCTTTGTTTAGTGGAGTATGGAACACACTACATTTGCATCCTGAACACATTAAGGAATATCAAATGTGCTTAAACTACTGTTGAAACATTAATTTCAAAAGTGTGGGTTTTCAGGAAATCATCACAAATTATGGAGAGAAAAAAATCTTGCTTGCACAGTCAAAAATTCAACATTTGTGAAAATTCTAAAATTTCTAATATGTTTTTAACATGTCAAAAGCTGTGATGCAAAAGATTGAAGTCTGACCATGCAAATGATTTGGAATCATTTTAAGTGCCACTTATCAATGTTAACAAATTAAAATCATTGTAAAGAACTGTGAAGAAGAACAATGTATAATACAAGTAGGTAAGGGATGGAGTGTCAACACCAAGGATTCCATAAATGTAACTTATGTTATAGTTTACATGTTTTAGGTGGCTAGCTCAGGCAAACTGTCATCAGAACCACCTTGGATTACCCCACTGGTACATTGACTGACCCAAACCCACAGGCGTTGGATCTCCTCACCCAATAATTGTATTGGTGTACGAATACCTTTATTTATTTCTACAATTTAAATAATGTACAGTAGAGCTGTCACGATACACTTTACCTACGATTCGATACGTATCTCGATATTTGTTCCACAATTCGATTATTTCGATTCAATACACCTTTATTTTAAAATATAAACAAAATGAGATATAAAACCAGTCAATACACGGAAACCTGCAGTGTTTCCACACTTTTGATTTGACGCTTGCCGGAGCATCACAATTTTTCATTTCCTTATGACGGTCCGCCATTTTGTTATGAATGCTTAGTGAAAATTGCATCCTCGCAGCCAATTGGTTGAGGGTTTAGAGATCAGCCAATGAAATTGAACGTCTCACAGATGTTTCGGCTGAAGCCGCATACACTAATATTCAGATCGTGATGCATCGAAAATCTTGAAAAATATACCGTGAATCGAATCGAACATAAATAATCGCAGTACAAGTGCATCAATCACGGTGAATCGTGACACCGCTATTATTGTACAGTAACAAACAGATTTGAAACAGACACTTACCTGTCAGTCTGCTTGGAGAAGAGCAAACAAGGAAGGGTCAGTCCAACAAACTTGTCCATTTCACTGATCATACATCCATGAAGGCCGTTAGTTAAGGACTTTGTTTCAATTTGATGTGAGAGAAGTGATCTTTGAATGTACTGCTGAATCTGTAGCAATAAATTCAACAAGAGTACAGAGGTGCAACAATATACATCCCTCCCTGCCAAACAGCTGTCAACCAATCACAGGGCAGTAAATGTTAATTATTCATCGCTCCCTGCCAAACAGCTGTCAACCAATCACAGGGCCGTAAATGTTAATTATTCATCCCTCCCTCCCAAACAGCTGTCAACCAATCACAGGGAAGTAAATGCTAATTATACATCCCTCCCTGTCAAACAGCTGTCAACCAATCAAAGGGCAGTAAATGCTAATTATTCATCCCTCCCTCCCAAACAGCTGGCAACCAATCACAGGGCAGTAAATGCTAATTATACATCCCCCCCTGCCAAACAGCTGTCAACCAATCAAGCCGTCAACCAATCAAAGGGCAGTAAATGCTAATTATTCATCCCTCCCTCCCAAACAGCTGTCAACCAATCACAGGGCAGTAAATGTCAATTATACATCCCCCCCTGCCAAACAGCTGTCAACCAATCAATGGGCAGTAAATGTTAATTATTCATACCTCCCTGCCAAACAGCTGTCAACCAATCAATGGGCAGTAAATGTTAATTATTCATACCTCCCTGCCAAACAGCTGTCAATCAATCACAGGGCAGTAAATGTTAATGATACATCCCTCCCTGCCAAACAGCTGTTAACCAATCAAGCTGTCAACCAATCAAAGGGCAGTAAATGCTAATTATTCATCCCTCCCTACCAAACAGCTGTCAACCAATCAATGGGCAGTAAATGTTAATTATTCATCGCTCCCTGCCAAACAGCTGTCAACCAATCACAGGGCCGTAAATGTTAATTATTCATCCCTCCCTCCCAAACAGCTGTCAACCAATCAATGGGCAGTAAATGTTAATTATTCATCGCTCCCTGCCAAACAGCTGTCAACCAATAACAGGGCAGTAAATGCTAATTATACATCCCCCCCTGCCAAACAGCTGTCAACCAATCACAGGGGAGTAAATGCTAATTATACATCCCTCCCTGTCAAACAGCTGTCAACCAATCAAAGGGCAGTAAATGCTAATTATTCATCCCTCCCTACCAAACAGCTGTCAACCAATCAAGCTGCCAACCAATCAAAGGGCAGTAAATGCTAATTATTCATCCCTCCCTCCCAAACAGCTGTCAACCAATCAAGCTGCCAACCAATCAAAGGGCAGTAAATGCTAATTATTCATCCCTCCCTCCCAAACAGCTGTCAACCAATCACAGGGCAGTAAATGTCAATTATACATCCCCCCCTGCCAAACAGCTGTCAACCAATCACAGGGCAGTAATGGTAATTATACATCCCTCCCTGCCAAGCAGCTGTCAACCAATCAAGCTGTCAACCAATCAAAGGGCAGTAAATGTTAATTATTCATCGCTCCCTGCCAAACAGCTGTCAACCAATCACAGGGCAGTAAATGCTAATTATACATCCCTCCCTGCCAAACAGCTGTCAACCAATCAAAGTGCAGTAAATGTCAATTATTCAACGTCTGCTCAACTTTGATCTTAACCTTGAACTTTGTATATTGTACATGCTTTTACCAATTTTCATCAAAATCACAAGATAAAAAAACAAGTTACGAAGCAGAAATCATAGTGTGGATCTAAGGACACTTACCACCATCATGTCTCATCAAAACTTTTAATAGGCATATATTGATTACAGATACGTTTTACTATACAGGGAGTAAGTGTTTTTGTGTGTTGTTATACAATGTTTGTCAAATCACATACACATAGAAATACACTCAATATCTCAAGCATGAAATGATACAGTTGAGTTATGGAATGTGTGTCCCTATATATATCTCTCAGCAGAAATCCTACCTTATTCAAATGAAAAGGTTTCATGCATTAAATATCTGTTCTTAGACTGGTAATAGCTATACATGTAGTTAATTTTTTGTAATATTTACAATCCAACAATAGACATATTTATAAGACAGCTGTTTTCGCTCCGACTGTCACTCAAGATTTTGTTTAATTTGCAGAAAAATCCTGCATGCTAGTAGACTTACCTCCCTTTGTTGCTCATCCAATCTGGATTTAGCATTGGCATTCTGTTTAATGAGGACACGGATTAAATTCTGTTTCTTGTCCTAAAAATACAAATTTCATATAATCTCATGGCTGTTTATTTTGGATTAAATATAGAGATATGCTAATTAGTATTGGTAGCAATTTGGTACACGTTCACAGACAATAATTTATAAAGCAAAACTTCTGGGACAAATGTACACACATCAAACATGAAGCATTGAAACTAGTGCCGCATGAGGATCAGAGGTCCAGCCGAAAATTATAGTCAAAAATACATTAAACTTAATAGTTTATAGTAACCCCCCCCCCCCCCCTCCCTTACTCCTACTTGTAAAAAACCTTGAGGTTGAATGGATTCAAATCGGGTTTTTTCCACATTTTGAAGCGCCATTGCATCCCAAACTTCAGTCAACACCACCCAGACTCACAGCAATCTGCCTGAAGTCCTGTATTTTCTGGTATTTAGCTACCAGCATGTCCTTGTCTCGTAGTGACTTGACAATCCTCTCCTTGAGTGTCTCGTCCTCGTCTATACAACAGGTCAGGGCAGCTCGCTTACCTGACAGCTCTAACTCGTACTCAACCAGCAACCTAATCAGTACAAAATACAAGAAAATCTCACTAAACCTTATAACATATAAGTTGTAAAAATATTTTTTCACTTTCAACTTTAATCATTATAACTTGTTTCTGATTTATAATCTTTCACATCAATATTTTGATATAAAAAATAATAATACAGCAGACGACAGTGACCTTTAACATTGTCACTACAGCAGACGACAGTGACCCTAAAACATTGCCACTACAGCAGACGACAGGGACCTAAAACATTGTCAGTACAGCAGACGACAGGGACCCTAAAACATTGTCACTAAAGCAGACGACAGTGACCTAAAGCATTGTCACTACAGCAGACAACAGTGACCGTTAACATTGTCACTAAAGCAGACGACAGTGACCTTAAACATTGTCACTACGGCAGACGACAGTGACCCTTAAACATTGTCACTACAGAAGACGACAGTGACCGTTAACATTGTCACTACAGCAGACGACTGTGACCTTTAACATTGTCACTACAGCAGACGACAGTGACCCTAAAACATTGTCACTACAGCAAACGACAGTGACCGTTAACATTGTCACTACAGCAGACCACTGTGACCTTTAACATTGTCACAACAGCAGACGACAGTGACCTTTAACATTGTCACTACAGCAGACGACTGTGACCTTTAACATTGTCACTACAGCAGACGACTGTGACCTTTAACATTGTCACTACAGCAGACAACAGTGACCTTTAACATTGTCACTACAGCAGACAACAGTGACCGTTAACATTGTCACTACAGCAGACGACTGTGACCTTTAACATTGTCACAACAGCAGACGACTGTGACCTTTAACATTGTCACTACAGCAGACGACAGTGACCCTAAAACATGGTCACTACAGCAGACGACAGTGACCTTTAACATTGTCACTACAGCAGACAACAGTGACCTTTAACATTGTCACTACAGCAGACGACAGTGACCTTTAACATTGTCACCCTTCAATTAGTCTGGTGCTAAATTTTGCTCTACCATTTTGTTTAATTCTTACATATCTTACATATCACAATTGTTGCTTTGGTGTTGAATCTGCCCTCATCTAAAATGGGTGGATATTTTACTATTAGTCTGTATAAATGTTCCCAAATGTCCACATTGTTTATTTTGTTCAGATATTGACCATTTTGAGGATGGGTTAAGGGAAGTAATTTGCAATGCACTGTTTTGCAAGAGCCAGCAGGGATACATTCAGAATGAAAAATGTTTTGGTACAGTTTTTTGGTTGCCAACAGCGCTCTGCACCAAGACCCATATAAGTCAAGGGTTACTAATACATTTTTCTGCAAATGTTCCCGAAGGTTTCATATTCTGTGTGTTCCCAAAGTGTATTATCAGTAGATGGTATTACAGCAAGCTTAAGTCTGAACTCTGATTGTCGGGCAAAAGCATTTCTATCATTACCTAGCCTTCTTCAGACTTTCTGTTTGTTTGAAGTTTTTCTGTAGCTGATTTTCAATCTTCTGTCTCACATTATTTAGCTGGTCGTCCAAACTCCAAGTCTCATTTTCATGTTTCTGAGTTTCTATGAACCTCTGGATTTGTTTCAGCTGACTTTCCTATAAAAGACATACAATGACATTTAACATTTAAATGTTTATAATACCTCAGATGTTCATATTCTAATTAATAAGCTTAGTGTGTCATTAACAAAAATTTTCAAAAAGTTCAATCAATTTTTGAAATTCATATTTTTTTTGCCTTTATCATCTATGTCTTCAGAGAGTCACCCTAGGTCAAATTCTACTACCCCAATGCCTTGGGCAAAACAAATTTTACGCTGGGACTTCTGAAAGTTTTTAATATTTTGTAGGAAAATGTCGCTTGGAGAACTAGAACTTTTCAAAATCTGCCTGTGGGCTTGTTTTTTAGATTTGAAATCATATACCCCTGATCCTGACTTCTTCTACATTTTAGGTATCAATTGCAATATTTTTGTGAAAGTGCATGATTATAAAATCTTGTGTTAATTTCTTGTTATGAAAGCCATTAAATCAGTCTTTGAACACATATAGACTCATTTCTTTTTCATAAACAGTCATTTACAAATGAACATATTTTCTTTTTTTGCTTTTGATCAGGGTTTAACAACCTGGCAACAGCCACGATCCTATGAAGGCTGGTTGCTACTCCACCAGAAAAACACTAGATGAAAAATAAAGAAAAAGTGCAAAAAGGTAGGAAAAGAAAAAGATCCAAAGTATTGCAGTGGGGACAACCGGTCAATTTTGGTCTTTTCGATGTCCCCTAATTAGTAAATCTAAAGACACATAAAGAAAACCCTCAGATTCTACACAGAAACCTACATTAGTTGCCGCCAACGATTTGCATGCAATGGGATAAAGCAGGTTTGTTCTTAGTTTCTTCAATGTACAAAGGATGAAGAAAAAATGTATCCCCTATTCTACAGGGTCGCGGGCCCTCATAAAACCCCATTAGGGGGTTATGCAGTGTGATACAGCAGGTCTATCGTATTCCCTGAACCTGCCTAGGATTTAGGTTCAACATAAGAAAATCACTAGAACAGGGGCAAAACCAAGACATAAATATCAAGTACATAACAATGTAATCATATTTATTTGCTTAAGACATCAATTTAGACATCTGAATAATTGCATTTTTTTAAAGACTGGTAAGATACTTTAGTGCTACCAACCACATACATATATATGCATCCTATCATGATAGAAGCATATTCTGTAAAAGTCTATATAATACTGAATTGAGCATTTTGTTGTATATAATTCCTTGATGTATAGTAACAATTTGTAGCAGGGGTGATCACTTATCTCTAACAGTTGGTGGACGCTCTGTAACAGGGGTGATCACTTACCTCTAACAGTTGGTGGACGCTTTGTAACAGGGGTGATCACTTACCTCTAACAGTTGGTGAACTATCTGTAACAGGGATGATCACTTACCTCTAACAGTTGGTGGACGCTCTGTAACAGGGCTGATAAATTACCTCTAACAGTTGGTGGGCGCTTTGTAACAGGGGTGATCATTTACCTCTAACAGTTGGTGGGTGTTTTGTAACAGGGGTGATCATTTACCTCTAACAGTTGGTGGGCGCTTTGTAACAGGGGTGATCATTTACCTCTAACAGTTGGTGAACTATCTATAACAGGGATGATCACTTACCTCTAACATTTGTTGGACACTTTGTAACAAGGATGGTGGAGAGGAAAGGCTGGTCATTTCTCCTGGCTTCTCGTATTTGAAACTGAAAAATTGTTCAGATTGTTATTTTCATAGACTTTTTTTGAGAACAAATATGCAAATATTTCTGACATCAACAAGGTTCTATACTAAAAACTTGCAATAATGAAGGGGTGATCACTTACCTCTACCAGTTGGGGGCCGCTCTGTAACAAGGGGGATAACTTACCTCTAACAGTTGGGGGACGCTCTGTAACAAGGGGGATAACTTACCTCTAACAGTTGGGGGACGCTCTGTTACAGGCGTGATCACTTACCTCTAACACTTGGTGGACGCTCTGTAACATGGGTGATCACTTACCTCTAGCAGTTGGTGGGTGCTTTGTAAGAGGGGTGATTACTTACCTCTAACAGTTGGCGGACGCTCTGTTACAGGGGTGATCACTTGCCTCTAACAGTTGGTGTATGCTCTGTAACAGGGGTGATCGCTTACCTCTAACAGTTGGTGGCCGCTCTGTAACAAGGGGGATCACTTACCTCTAACAGTCGGTGGACGCTCTGTAACAGGGGCGATCACTTACCTCTAACAGTTAGTGGACGCTCTGCAACAGGGGTGATCACTTACTTCTAACAGTTGGTGGACGCTTTGTGACAGGGGTGATCACTTACCCCTAACAGTTGGTGGACGCTACGTAACAGGGGTGATCACTTAACTCTAACAGTTGGTGGACGATCTGTACCAGGGGTGATCACTTACCTCAAACAGTTGGTGGACGCTCTAACAGGGGGGATCACTTACCTCTAACAGGTGGTGGACGCTCTGTAACATGGGTGATCACTTACCTCTACCAGTTGGGGGCCGCTCTGTAACAAGGGGGATCACTTACCTCTAACAGGTGGTGGACGCTCTGTAACATGGGTGATCACTTACCTCTAGCAGTTGGTGGACGATCTGTTACAGGGGTGATCACTTGCCTCTAATAGTTGGTGGACGCTCTGTTACAGGGGTGATCACTTACCCCTAACAGTTGGTGGACGCTTTGTAACATGGGTGATGACTTACCTCTAACAGTTGGTAGACGCTCTGTAACAGGGCTGATAAATTACCTCTAACAGTTGGTGTTTGCTTTGTAACAGGGGTGATCACTTATCTCTAACAGTTGGTGAACTATCTATAACAGGGATGATCACTTACCTCTAAAAGTTGGTGGACGCTTTGTAACAGGGGAGATCACTTACCTCTAACAGCTGGTGTATGCTCTGTAACAAGGGTGATGACTTACCTCTAACAGTTGGTTGACGCTCTGTAACAGGGGTGATCACTTCCGACTAACAGTTGGACGCTCTGTAACTTACCTCTAACAGTTGGGGGACGCTCTGTAACAGGGCTGATAAATTACCTCTAACAGTTGGACGCTCTGTAACTTACCTCTAACAGTTGGCGGACGCTCTGTTACAGGGGAAATCACTTACCTCTAACAGTCGGTGGACGATCTGTAACAGGGGTGATCACTTCCGACTAACAGTTGGACGCTCTGTAACTTACCTCTAACAGTTGGGGGACGCTCTGTAACAGGGCTGATAAATTACCTCTAACAGTTGGACGCTCTGTAACAGGGATGATCACTTACCTCTAAAAGTTGGTGGACGCTTTGTAACAGGGGAGATCACTTACCTCTAACAGCTGGTGTATGCTCTGTAACAGGGGTGATCACTTCCGACTAACAGTTGGACGCTCTGTAACAGGGTTGATCACTTACCTCTAACAGTCGGTGGACGCTCTGTAACAGGGTTGATCACTTACCTCTAACAGATGGTGGACGCTCTGTAACAGGGTTGATCACTTACCTCTAACACTTGGTGGACGCTCTGTAACAACGGTGATCACTTACCTCTAACAGTTGGTGGACACTTTGTAACAAGGATGGTGGAGAGGAAAGGTTGGTCATTTCTCCTGGCTTCTCATATTTGAAACTGAAAAATTGTTCAGATTGTTATTTTCATAGACTTTTTTTGAGAACAAATATGCAAATATTTCTGACATCAACAAGGTTCTATACTAAAAACTTGCAATAATGAAAATCAATCCGAAGGGCTATACGTGATTAATATTCTATTTCCCATACACAGTTCAAAACATTGCTACTAATGTATTTTGAACATTTCTTTTTAATATTTGATGACTAAGTCTATGTTATATCAATGAAAATACAGTGTAGATATAATATACAAAATAAATTTCAGTTGGCATTCATACATGTAGACTAGAAAAAATAAAAGGCTCTATGCCAAACCTGTGCAATAAATCCCATTGGTTTAAATTCCTTTCCTGAGAAGTCTTACCGTAAGCGCTCTGCATCCTTACGGAGATCAATAGAGCTGGTCTTGTCACGGAGAGAGAAGCTAGACTCCTGTGTGTTCACCAGTAAGGAGGAGAAGGTCTGTTGTACAGAGAACTCCCGTAGAACGGTCTCCACTTCGCTCCATAACAATTCCTTCTTGCGCTGTCTAGAAATTAAACAATCAACATATTTTATAAAAGATTTCAGAGTGATACAAATGCCTTTAAAACGTTTTAGCTTAAGATTTTTCTTTTGGTTAAAAGGATTTTTTTATTGTTTGTGTTTTTCTTTCAAAAAGACGACTTTTTTTGACACTGGGATGTGCTCAACATGTCAAAATCTTTCTAAAAAATAGAAGAAAAAAGAAAAAAAAATATCAATATATATGCAATAGAATGCTCTTAAATATAACGGAATTTTCTTTAAGACTTACTAAGAGGCAATTATATCTACATTTTGGATATGTTTGACATGTATTGCAGCTCTGAAATAAAAGTTGATATGCTCTATTCCGTCTTTGCGTATTGCAGAGTTATCTTCTCTTGTGAGCAGGTATTGATTGTTACGTCATTGGTTTGTGTGTCAGAAAATTACGTTGTTTTCTCAAAAATTGGCGACGTTACTGTCACCTGCTCACAAGAGAAGATAACTATGCAATACGCAAAGACGGAATAGATATATAAAATAACTTACATGGCCGTTTTTTCTGTATCAAAAGCACCCTGCAGAAGTGTGTTCAGAAACAATCCTACGGAATCACACGTTTCCCGCACCTTTTTCTGGAAAACAATAATTAACATGGTGGTCATCACGAACCAGTCTGATAATCTTTATTTACTTGTCTTGAACTTTAAATTGATTATACAAACAGAAATTTTTCAGTATAACAAAAAACAACAACAACAAAAAAGGACAGTATTTCTTGATATTTTTAGATGGATAAAATGAGAAAACCTTGCCTTTTTGTCAAATGTTGCCCCCACTTCAGGGTTTATTATCAGTGATTTTGGGAAACGGACCCTGGGATGAAATTGGGAAAACATCATTTAGATAATTAATAGCCATTTTGGAAATTTTGTATTAACATTATAACAACTCTGAATACATGGAATTAGATTGTCTTAACTTTTATCAAAGCCTGTCTTTATGACAAAGTGATCATTCTGTCTTTCCTACACGTACATACCTGGTAAGCGGCATTTTGAGAACTCAGTCAATCTGTAGGAATTTATTTAAATTTATCACATAATCGGCCTGTTATCCAGTGAATTTGCCCCTGTAATATTTTTACATATGTCACTAGTGTAATATAGCCTGGAGCGCTTTTCATTGACTGTGCCGGTCAGAAATTGATTGTGATGCCATAATATGGACAATAACGTGACGTCATAAATTGTGAATGGCGCAACAAAATGGCTGTCTCCGTTTGATTATGCCCTCTACGTTTTGGCTTTAAAACCTGTCAAAATGTAAGTTTTCTGAGTTGTGTGATAAAAAGTATCTTAAATTTGTTTTCATTTCATATGAGCTTTCATGAAACGTGTCTCGAAGTTATAATTTTTGCTCGCCAAGGATCGCAAAAATAAAAACTCCTCAGACTCGTTTCATAAAATCTCATATGAAATGAAAACACATTTAAGATCCTATATATATGCATTTATATTATTTGTTTAGATTTCCAAATTGTGAATTTTAAAGACGCTAATTGGGCAATTAGGAATGGGTCCTATCAACAGACCTAAAAAGAACCTTGATGAACCCCAGCCACCCCATGCCACCTCGTTCACTTAAATGTGTCGATTCCTGTGTTTTCAGTAATTTAACAGGGTAAAAGCATATCTAGGCCTCAGACAACAAATACACTTCCAGGTCGTTGTACATGAATGTAGTGCATAAAGGCATTTCATGTCAGTTACTAAATATTTTTTCCTGTCTGATCTATGAAAGATATTTTTTTTTTTTACATAGAATTGTTCAACAATATCTATTCGAGTGATTAAAGGTTTTGACACAGTTTTCAAGTTTGTATTCGCAGCAGGACACAATGAGTGATGAGGCTTGCACATTGATGTTTTGTGAATTTTGGTATTTTCACCTATACATACAGGGTCGTATCATTTAAATGAAATTATCTCTCTTAAATGCCAGTCATGAGATACTTTCCAGCTCACTGTAGGTTCAGATCGAATAGATATACAATAGGAAATAGGAGCCAGACCCTGCCCAAAGTTCTAAATATTTTTATTTTTATTTTTTTTGGTAGTGACGACATATAGTAGGATTAATTGTGGTCTAGCTGATGCCATCTACAGTAAGACAGAAACTTCAAATAGAGCAATCTTTTTATCAACAAGACCATAGAAAACAATATAACTTAAATCATATAGATCACCTGTAAAAGCTTAACTGACTTACACTGCATCTTGTCTCCAATGCTGGCATGTTGCTGTAGTGGTCCTCATCAGTAGAGCTATGCTTTCGGCTATAGTATTCATCTGACTCTGAAGCTTTTCTGTCAATGAAAACATTTAGCAGTGAATTTTGGGACACAGAAATTGGAGTTCTTGACTAAAGCTTTTCCTGTCAGACTTGCACACGTTTTGAGAACTAACTCTATCTCTTTGTCTGTACAGTTGTTGTTGTTGTGATGAAGGGAATGGATTGCGTCGTGAAAGGCAGCCTTCTTTTTTTTTGTAATCAGTTGGTAGTCGTTGAGCATCATTTGTACTGTGATAAATGCTGACATTAGAAGTGAGGAATCTACCTATCTTATACCCTTGGGCATAGAAGAGCATTTTTCTCTCATTTTAACCACCAGAATCAGCTAAGAAACCATGAAAATGCATTTTGACTGGCTACCATTTTGAAAATTTCAATTTTTCCCCTCAGCTTTTTTAACAAAAACGAGATTTAGCATACCCTATATTTGCAAACAGAATTTGTGCAGAAAAGTTTTTAATTTCACCACGTTGCCTTTAACGCATTGCGGCATCAGTGTTTTCTAAATTCGAGACGTCACGTCATTCTGACCTCATGTCACAAGAAATGTGGTGAGACAGAAATTTCCTACACCCCTTTCTTACCATGGACAGCTCTATCTTACACACGCGGAAATGAGAGAAAATGATTTCCTACTTTGCTCTGCTGGTGACGTGCTGTATGCGGCTGTTGATTCTGCGACAATACTCCTCGTACATGTGACTGGTATTCTGGCCCTGTTGGTTGAAGGTCTGAAGGAGAGCCGACTTCCTTTGTAGACCAGTTAATGCTGAACAAGCCAGGACATAGGTTCTCTCTGTTTTGGAAATTAACATAAAGACGTGATCAAATCAACAGTAGATTCAGCATCTAAAATAAATATATAATTTCCAGCTTGGCAGACTGCACCAGAAACCCTGGATCTCCACTGTTAAAAGGTATATATATACATGTACAGTATAACCTTGATGTATCGCCACCCATTGTACCGCCAAACTTGCATACCGTCATCAATTTTGTCAGAACCGATTTCCACACATTTAAATGCAACCGCCATATGCCACAATGTTTTGAGAACAGTCGTTCAAATACCCCTTTGTTTGCCCCCAACAACACCACCTCGCTCCATCGAAGAAAGTTACCTATATATCGTTGATTTCACAGTTGACTCAGCCCTGGGGGTCAGTCTTAGATGTTGTAATTACGTATAGTATGTGTGTCTAATCAATTTATTAATTAACATCTGAATACAATTTACCATTTATCACCTCTGTCGGTTATTTATTCATTCATTCATATCATAATTATGGCTTCTTACATGGCTTCTCAAAAAAAGGAAACAGGTTGTGAAGATATTCAATTCATTTTACAATTAAATGTCGGACTGTGGATGATAATTGGACTAACAAATCGAAATAGATTAGATGATACCGACAGGACACCACCGTTGTGCTCTGCATTGTTTTGTCACCTGACTGTCACGTACCGCATCAGCTGGCTATCACAGATAAAGGTGCGGATGCAGATTTCAGCGATCGCCATGTTCCAACCAGTCCAAACGGACTTGATCTCGATCCCCATTTACGTTTGACTATAAGACAGTTTCTTGAAATGATCAGATGCTTGCAACCCACTCAGGTATTATCGGACGATGTCAATGTTTTCCCAGCTACGCAGGCTTCTGATCGTGATGTTATAATATAATCCTGTAATCTGATTGTGACATCATATGCCCCGCCATATGCCACAATGTGATTTCCCTATATTTGTCATAGAGTACATTTCCAAATCCCATAAGAATAAGCAGAATAGACACGAAATTGTTATTAGGTATATAACAGTACACTTACGTGTGTCTGCGAGTTCTTGTTGTTGTCTTCTTAAGTCATTCTCTAAGTGACTTAGATCTGTGATGATGTTAGTGGCCTCCCCTGCTAGTCGAGCCCTTCTATCCAATAAGGTCTGCCTCTGGCTATCATATTTCTCATCAGATTTGAAACGGACTTTATATGTCCTCTTTTTTCTTCCTTTTCTGATGTTCAGTAAAGGAAACCCAGTAATTTCAACGCTTACTGCATCTTTACTATTCCCATGGCGAATAATGTCACCAATTTTACAAATTTTATTATACAAACATGTAGTCTAGGTAACACAAACAAGTTTTTTTTCTTAAAATTCTATAACCACACTGAAATTGTATTATCTAGCTATAACTTGACAGCATTTTTATTGATTTCTGAAAAGCTGAATTCTGTGTTCCAGATACACACATCATTTCTGTTTGTAACTCAACAATATACGAACGAGTATTACACTGCAATACGTTCTTTGCGATTGTACAAATTAATGGAATTCCTGCAAATATAGGGAAATCTCTTTGGAAACGTTACCAATGAACAGTCTGGCTTATAATTAGTACTAATAATTAATTTTTATATCAAATCATGTAATAGTTTAATATTTGAACTTAAATATCTCTCCTATAATGTACACTGATGACTGTATAGTTTTATTTCTATGATGTATATTCTCACTTTTACATTTTCTTCACTGTTTACTTGAAAATTATCTTTTATAAATGTAAAATGTTACTTGATGCTAAAAAAATCGAACTAAAAATGTACTACAGTAAATACTAGCCTGTGTTTGCATTTCCAAGGATACAAAGTTAAATTGCCTTGTACTTCTTTAACAGTTCTGAAAAAAAAGGAAATGAGGAATGCAAGTTTTATTATATAAGATGCCCAAATGCAGCATTAATGCAAATAACCAGTATAAATGTTTGTGATCAAACATACTGTAGTCAAATAGTCAATAGCTAACACTGTTTAAATCTAATTTTCCTTCAGATAATGGAAAGTTTACCTTTATAATTATATATTACATTCGCAATGCCCAATGTAAAATTCCGTCTTACAATAAAATTAGTATTTACGCCAAATTGTTATGAGGTATGACTGTTTTACGGTACAAATATTTCATAACATTTTCCTTACTGAAAGTACCTCATCATGTATGTTGAGTTTTGTCTTGGACACCTGGTACATACTGAATTGTATATATCAAATGCATCAATTATATTATGGCACATGTAATAATTTCAAGTTTGATAGATTCAAAATTACCACCAGGCTGCCTGCAGATAATGATAACATCAAACCAGGAACGTGTTGAACTTAGATCCCCAAGTATATAATACCCAAGTATGGGTCCTATTTCCTCAAATCAACCATGCTTAGAAATTAAATGTATTTGAGATGACAGATTTATCAGATTAAACTAAAACAAAAGAAATAAGTGTTTTCTTTTCGAAATTCTGTCTCAGTCAATGCTTAACTAACTTACATGTACAAAAACATAAATTTACATCAGGTTTGTATACTAGTGCTTTAAACTGTGCTGTCACAGAATGACACGTCACTTAGTCAATTTACAAGACTGGTGAAGGGAGATAACTTTTACTTTTTTTAGGACTGTAATTATCCCATTAGATATGCATGTGCAGCTAATTTGAACAACTTAGAGACTTACTGTGCACTGTAGACATGAGATGTAACAAACTTCCATATATCTTTCATCTGACCACGACATATGCTGAAAGAAAATTAAACAAATCATTATATATTTGATATGTAGTAATACCAGCTATTTGTTTTATCAATCCTAACCACGAAACCTACATGAAAAATATAATGCAATAATGGTACTACAATGAATAGATTTTTTATTAACTGTAACAATACTAGAAAGAATGATCTAAATCTAAGAATATGAATTTTGAAAAAAAGATTAAAAAAACAACATATGCAGGGCTTTTTAGGGGCCCAACAGACCCAATGTTAAATTAGTCAGACATGGTACAGGTTTTCCGGCAGGATAAACTTCAAACATGTTTCTGGGTACAATTTTCAGAAGAATGAGTCAGAGATTTTCTGTTTGTTTCACTTTGGATATAATTATTTTTCCCAAACTAAAATGAATCAGAACAAATTCAAATTAGAATTTTAATCAACACAATACTTTGGAACAGTCTAAAATAGAAAGGATCCAAATATTATTTTAAAAAATATTAAACAAATTCCAGCAAGTTTCTAGGCCTTTTGAAGCACTTTTCACAATTTCAGCACTTTTCATTGCCTGTATATATTAATGAGCCATGTCTCATATTCTACTGTATCTGCCAATGTCTTATAATAATTACCCAACATTTCATCGAGTGATCATTAGTTTGTTCCTTAAGCTTAGCTTGTTCACATTCATTTGAAGAAGTAAATTGTATAATAAGGGAACTACTGTACAGTATACAACTTTCTTACTCCTTGAATTCATCTACATTAGGCTGTCGTACACCAACACCCTGTGGGCGGTAACGCATCTCTTCCATGGCCCATTTGTGTAACATCACAGCCAAATCAACATCATCACGTCGGTTTGAAGTCATGATATCAAATTTTCTCTTTCAATGAATATAGAAGCCAATAGAATTGTTCATTTCTTCTTTGACGAGTTCCTTTTTTTCAAACAGCAATCATTGGTATATCTACAATAATGAAGAATGCATTAAAATGAATGAAAAGTTTATTATTGCCCTATCAGAAACATTTTACAATGATCATGATCGAGATACATTATAATTATGTAGTCAAAGACATTTTGGACTATTCTTGCCATTGATTAAAATATGTGTCATCATTATGTAGTGAATTGTAGTGATCAAATTGTAGTGATTACATTCTACGGAAGAGTACATTCTTAGAAAAGGAAGATGGCTTTCATAGAAAGAGATATATATAATACATTTACATATACGGTGTATATATATATATATATGTATGTAACTTAACAGCTACTGGAGCACCGGCACATCTGGCTATATATATATATATATATATAGCTATATTTGGCCAGATATGCGCCAGTGACAGTACATCTGCCCCAGTACATGTTAAAATGGCACTGACAAGCAAACCCCACCCAATAATTATAAGTTTCTAGTACTAGTGGGTCACACAAATATACGTAATCCAAGCTAAGTTTTATCAAGTTGAATTGGTGTGGGTTTTTTTGTAACAGCATCATCATCTGAGAGTAAAGTGATCCAAACACATGTGCATAAAACATCAACGATGACAGGCTGAAACACATTTCGACATTCAAACTTACGTCAAGTTACGACTCGGACTCACAGCAACAAAACAGTTGAATATAAATTCTGGTCGGTTATAACATAGTTTAAAATGGCAAAAGGCAAATATGTATGACATTAACATGCGCAAGTAAAAGAGACATATTTGAACTTCCATACATCATGATGACAGAAATAGGCCTGTTTGGAAGTTGAAAAATCCGCCATCTGCAAACCGGAAGTACATAAGTTTCTAATAACTTAAAAAGGTCATATTAAATCCGGAGATTACGATTCGTTCTGTCGACCAAAGAAAAATGTTTAAAATATCGTCGATTGATATCTGACTCACAATACATAGAGTTAGGATTTCGGATTTTTTTAATTAATGATTATTCTATTTTTATGTGCTTTAGGGCAAATTAAGCATGTAATAGGTAATGTAATAGACACAGGGACACCTTGGCGCACACCCATAAATGTTTCGGTCATATTTGATGACCGATCAGAAAATGGAACGCGTTACGCACATCTACATATAGTACATATACTAACACTCGTGTGAAGTTTCATAAGTATCCGGTTTCTAAGAGAGAAACAACCTGGAACCTATTGGCGGAAAAAAAATAAAATTAATAAGAAATTAAAAATTCCTAGTGTCCATGTAGTCGCAAATCGCAAATTGAATGATACATTGAAAAGAATGTGCGTACCCATTTATGCTCTTACAAGTTTAAAAGGAGAGGAACCAATGGCATCACATTGGCTTAAACCTATAACTGTGTTGATAAGTTATAGGCAACGACGGCCAAGTTTTGCAGATTATTACTGATGTGATCGTAACCGAAATGTTTATGTGATGAAACTTCAGTAATTACTCTATTATTCATGGCAAGATGAGGATGAAGAAGGGGTGATAGTTTTCCTATATATATTAGTACGGTTTCTGTTTAAGCAGAATTAAACTTAATCAACCATCTCTTGGACTATTCATGGATTTTCTTAAGTCATTATTTAGACTCACGGCACTGATTCATGAAGACGCGATGATGGCGCACTAGGAAGTGTCATCTGCAAATAACTTAAAGGTAGTATGTATACATTTTACAATTAAGAAAGAGAAGAGGGCCTAATATGGAACCTTGGGGAACCCCAGCCTTGATGTTTGACCAATTCTAACTTTTACCATTAATTACAACTCTGTGTTTACGATTTCTAAGATTATTTTTCAAACTAATATACTAGTGAACCCCAAATTCCAAAACCAGATAGTTAACAAAGAAGAACCAAACACAGCCGAAAGCTTTGCTAATGTCACAGAAAACCATTCTTATTTCTTTATCGTTATCTAGTGCAGAATACACATCATGAATGATCGAAATAACAAGAACAAGTCTAAGATGGCGTCGTTATCGACACACGGTACATTTAGTGTGTCGTGATCAGTGATTAAATATCGTGTGTTATCCTTCTTTGGACAAACTATCAGAAATGGAATATTAAGACGGATTCGAGCAGGAAAGGAAGGGGTTACAAAAGGTGAAAATTGTGATGGGATTGTGCTGTATTTGACATCATGTTTTGATATTTGATTTTGTCTCTTACCGTATATTATATATATATATATACGCACCTCACATATTTACCTGTGAGATCTGAACTAATCGAACTCACGGTCGATGATTCGTCACGCTCTATCGAATAATCATTGGCGGACTGTACACACAGTGATAATAGACAACATTCGTTATGGGGAACAGGTCCAAGAAGCGTAAGAGTAAATCTACTCATTATGACAGTAGTACCAGTAGTGTCAACAATACTGCTGAATCTACAGCTTTCAGAACCATCGAGGAGGAAAGTTCCGGCAAGTCTGCGGGACCCTGTGCATCCACGCCAGCAGCCGTAATGCCCGGTGTCACAGATCTTAGTGCAGTACATAGAAAACTTGATTTTTTAATTACAAAAGTCCAAAAGCTAGATCTTATTGAACACCAGATGAAAAATATTGAGGTCTCACTATCGCACACCATCAGACGAGTCAATGAATTTGAAAAAAAAATAGTTGAGTTTGAAAAGTCTGTAGGGTTTGTATCAAGCAAATGTGACGAATTCAGCAAAAAGTGTAGTGACCTAGATAAACTTACAAGCAAATGTGACGAACTCAACAAAAAGTGCAGTGACATTGACAAACTTTCTCGGCATATGAATGATCAGCAAAAACAAATAAAAGCCGCAAATGTAAAAATATCTGAAGTTATGGAGGCTAGATCCATGGACGTACGGGACAACCTGTCTGAAACAGTGTTGGACCTACAATGCGGTAATCGAGGAACGTCGAAAAAAACTATATCCGGTTATTAAGCGCCTCAAAAGATCACCGAACAAACCAACTATTAGACTTGTTAGAGACAAGCTTTACGTTGACGGCAAGCTGTACACGGATGAGACTGTGCTAGGTATGGACCAACAGGAGGCTCCAGCAGCCCCGACGTATGCCAGTACTGCTGCCGGCGGTAAAGCGACCGTAGGCAATGGTACTCGTACATAGGAACGCGCGGAGAGAGACACTTTCAGTAGTACGTTTGAACTCTCTGTACTTTCGTGGAACATTGGCAAAGGCCTGGTTAACAAGCTTAGTGATAGAGAATTTTTGTCCATTATCCAAAAGTATGACATTGTATGTTTATGCGAATGCTGGATAACTGTCAACGATGAAATTGAGCTTGACGGGTATTGTAAGCATGTATTTCCTAGGAAAACTGGGATAGGTGGCGGAATAGTTATCTTCTTCAAGAACTGTTTTAAAGACAAGATATCTGTTGTTGAAAATATGTATGATAGTATAATATGGTTAAAATTGGAAAATAGCTCCAGAGATTCTGATACATATATTGTTTTCTGTTATTTTCCTCCAGAAAATAGTGTTTTTTATGAAAACAATTTAGATGAAATAGATTTATTCCAGTCGTTGCAAGATTCAATTATAAAATATAAATCAAATGGAAAAGTGTACATAACAGGAGACCTCAATGCTAGAACTGGTACCAGATCTGACACGGTAATTAATGACGCTTTAAGTAACGAAGTTAACGATTTATTTGATGCTTTTGATTACCAATACGATGATGTATATGATATAAAAGAACGCACAAATATGGACAAATATGTAAATTCTTTCGGTAGAAAATTGTTATCACTCTGTAAATCAACTGGATTTAGAATCATGAATGGACGTCACTCTGATGATCCCGATGGAAGTTTTACATTTTTCAGTGCTAATGGTACCAGTCTTATTGACTATCTTTTAGTGGAGGGTGAGAACTTTCGTAACATAATACAATTTAATACAGGTACATTTGAAACTATGTCTGATCACTCGCCTGTAATTTTTAAATGTAAGCTTTCTTTAAGCTTGGATGATGATTTGTGTGAAAATGAATGTCATGTTAGGTGTGCATGTGAAAATGTAAAATGGAATGATGGTAATGTAAATTCTATCAAACAGAATTTGAATGATAATAACGAAGTACTGAGTGAAATATTCTGCTCGCCTTTATTGACTAATTCAGATGTAGAGGTATGCATTCACAAACTCAGTTCATTTATGAATGAAATGATTTTGCCAATGTGCGATGTACATAGTTCTAAACAATCTCATGATACAAAACGTCATAACAGCAAAGCTATTGCGGATGAGGATAAACCTTGGTTTAATCTCACATGTAGACATAGGTACAATGCTTACAAAGCTGCTTTACACTCATTCAATATTAATAAAACTGTCGAAAATCATCAAATATTAACAGAGAAAAAAACTAATTACAAAAAAATTGAATCGAGACTCAAGAGGGAATATCGGAGACAGGAAGGTGATATGATGGATTATCTGCGTAGACACAATCCGAAACATTTCCATAAATACTTTGCAAGACGAAAATCTAAAGTATCCAACAGAATTTCTCTTGACAAATTTTTTAACCATTTTAAACACCTAAGTAATCAAGTAAATATAATAGATGACACAAATAACTCAAATGCTGATGTAGATATTGAAAGTAATGAATCTTGTATATTTGATGAATTGGATGAAGAAATTACCGAACATGAAGTGACTTCTGCAATACATAAGTTGAAAAGAAATAAAAGTTGTGGTGAGGATAAAATATTAAACGAATTATTCATTGATTGCAAAGAGATACTAGTACCATACATAACTAAATTTTTTAACTCAGTTTTTCAAGCAGGACTTTTCCCAGAATCTTGGTCAACTGGGTGTATCACGCCAGTATATAAAAAAGGTGATATTGAAAACACGAATAATTATAGAGGTATTACTTTAGTTAGTTGTATGGGAAAGTTGTTTACATCAATATTGAATTGGCGATTAGTGAAATGGGACACCGAAAATAATATTATAACGGATGCCCAATTTGGTTTTAGGCCTGGATACTCGACTGTTGATGCAATATTTGTCCTTCAGACATTAATTAATAAGTATTTAAGCAAAAGAGGTGGCAGACTATATTGTTGCTTTGTAGATTATAAGAAGGCCTTCGACCTAATTGAAAGATCTCATTTGTGGTGTAAATTGATAAATCAGGGTATACGCGGGAAAATGTTACGAATCATACAATCTTTATATAACTCAGTGAAATCATGTGTAAAGCATAATGGGGGTTATTCTGACTATTTCACAAATACGATTGGTCTTTTTGTGATATCTTGTACATGTGTATGTCTACTCTCCGATGTGTTGTAAACATAAGGAAATAAAGAATCTGAATCTGAAATAAGCTGATTGACGGATGAATCGCCATGTTGAAAAGCTGACTGGTAAGAGGAAAAAAGGGAGTGGTCATGCAGAAATTTATAGACGCACTTTTCCATTAATTTACCGACTATAGGGATATCATGCTAGTTAGTTAAGACGGACTTTTCTTCTTTCTTTTTTTTTTGTTCACATGTGTGACGATTGCATTTTTCTATTCAGACGGAAACACCCCCAAGTTAAGAGACTTGATAACAAGGACACAAAAGGGGTAACATAGAATGTCTGCCGCTTCTTTAAGTAGTCGAGGATTCACAAGATCAGGACCAACAGCTTTAGAACAATCAAGGTTTAATATACATGTAGCACCGTTTACGTCGGCAGTAGATATGTTAATATTAGATAAAATATGGTTACATTCATCCACAATATTTAGGAGGACAGCGTTGAGTACCATCAATAGTTGATT